AGAAAGAAAGAAAGAAAGAAAGAAAGCATTATTGTGAAATGAATTATAAGGGAATGAAATAAATAAATAAATAACATGATTATTAGGGAAGATCAAAAGAAAGAAAGAAATGAGATAGCCTGCATCAAAATGATATCCAAATAAAGCGAGAAATGATTTTTTTAATTTAAAAAATCATAAAAAAGGAATCGATACAATGAAAAAAATTAAAAAAGAAAAAAAAACTACAATTTTTACAGTAATGAAAACGTAATTACAAGAAAGAAAATGGAAGTCGAAATTCGTATGCAACCTAAAAAAAATCCAAAATTCAAAATGGACGAAACACCTCGACTCCGATCACGTTACAGAATGTCTGATTTTTATACGCCTTGACACAGATCTCGTCAGTCTAAGTATCGTGTAATTTAGATGCTAACAATAAAGTTTCCATACCAACACTTGCTGTGCGTCATCACCTGATTTGCTCCGGCTCTAATCAGCATCTCTTCGCGTTCATCAAAGGCTGTGTTAAACGGAGAAAATGGAAGAGACGGTAATATCATCTAAGCTGCTAACATGTACGATACCCGAACGAAAGGAGAAAGTCGCAAAGATACGGGTGTTTAATTCACAAATTACACAGAAATAACGATTAAGGTTATCGCCTCTTTCCGTATTCTTTTTTCTGTTTGCTTCCTTACATGAGCGTTTAATAGAACCAACTATAGGGGCTATAATTCATTCGTCGGGCACCCCGAGGCGCTGTAATGGCTAGCAAGCTTGTTTTGCTAGAACAATTACGGCTGAGTAGCGAATTCGACCCTCACTGGGTGTCCCATACATTCGGCCTTGTGCCACATCTAAGCTACGCTTAGAAAATCATTATAATTCATTTGTTGCCTTTGGCAAAAATCTTAAAGACTAAAATTTTTTTTAACCTTCTTTTGGCTTCGTTTTTTTTATCCCTGAAATTAATCTTGTCGAACTTCTTTTTCTTTTATGGTTCATATCTTTTAAAGATGTGGCTGATCATGGTCCTCCACAACATCCTGTTGTTATAAGTAACATTTGAATGTTTACCACCCCGGGTTTTGCCATCCTTTCCCCCTACACTTATAAAGTAGATGACTCAATCTTTTCCTCCGTCGCTTCTGCTTTCACTGTAAGTATTAAATTTTACTCTAAAAATTATTTTTATACTTTCATAGTGTTTGTTTTTGTTTAGGGATGCACTATTTGTCCAAAGCTGTGACCCTAACAGGTGCTACCACCCCAAGTTAGAGTGGATCTGGGAACAACAACAATTAAGTGGTGATTCCACGCTTCTCGAAACATTCAATCACTTGCTGCCGGATGTAGTTTATCATCATACCCAAGATTCAGTGTCTTAGACCAAATTCTACTGTTACATGCTGGTATCAGGACTAAGGAAATTGTCTAGCATTGACCTCCATATGGGAGGATAGGCATGACATTTGTATCCAACACTGTCTTTGTTTCTAACGAAATTTTCCTATATATTAATTCGTTGCTTATTTTCTAAAAGGCAACTTTCGCTATTCCGATGCACTGTTACTACACTAGATATATATCGTGTAGTAGTGAGTTGACTGAGAAGTGTTCTGTTTAACAATGCCAGGATATTCATATCGGGAGAGATGTAGTTTCCTTTCCGTATCTGCTATCAACATTATATCTACTGCATGTCTTATGTTGTTAAGATTGTGGCCGTCAATAATGAATCCTCGTAGGCCTTCTAATTCTATCCAAAGGATGAGCCCGAAATGCGATTTGCAGGTCGGGGACACTAAAATCAAGCAGGCGCCGAGGTTTAAATATCTGGGAAGTGTTTTGACGGAGGACGGAAGGTGCGATGCTAAGATCCAAAGACGGATTGGAATGGCCAAGGATGCATTCCTAAAGCTGGCCACAGTACTGCCAGACAGGAGGATTTCTTTGGTGATAAAGAAAAGAGTAATAAGCTGCTACGTGACATCTGTCCTCCTATACGGCAACGAATGTTGGACGGTCTCCTCAAAGATGAAGAAAAGTCTCAAGGCAGCAGAGATGTGGTTTCTACAGAATGATGCAAAGGATATTGTTATGGGACCTTACCCATAATAACATAATGGACTATTCCATACGTAATAAATACTGCGCCTCAAGAGGAATCAGGGAGTTCCGTCTGAAGTCTAGAGTTCAGTCTGAAGTCTGGAGTGAAGTCCGTCAGGAGTCTGTCAGTCAGTCAGTCAGAGCGAGTTAGTCAGTCGAGTCAGAGGCAGTCCGAAACAGAGTCGCGTTCAGACAATTACTACTAAACCTGATTGTTCGTACTAACACTTTCTACTTCTCTGTATATATTCCTGTTTGTAATATATCTGTATTATTCCATATCCGTGTTCGAGTTCTTCTTTATTGGTTCTACGTTGGACTATCACCGTGATACAAGGAACCGGGCCATAACAGATATCATAGAGCGAGCATGTGAGAATGCAAACAAGCGGAAGCTTATACTCAACAGAAGAAAGAGGCAGATGAAATGTCTGGGACACGTTCTGAGAAAGGAGGGTCTTGAGAATCTGATATTCACAGGTCGAATAGAGAGAAAAAAGAGACAAGGGAAAGCAACGCATGACGTACCTGGCGGGATTAAGCAAGTGGATGGCAGAACGTGGTCTGGGGGAGTTGGCAGAGGTACGAAATTTATTGAGAGCTACAAGAGATAGGGGAAAGTGGAGAGCCATGATCGCCTGCGTCCTGAAAGGACACGGCACATAAAAAAAAAGAAAGCCCGCTGAAAAGACACATCCTTGTCATACACCCCTTTTTATTTTTGTATATTTACTGAATTCATTTTCCATCCGTATACAGGCGGTTTGTTGCCAGTATAGGCTTTTGACTTATTCTCTTATCCTTCCCAAATATGTCAAGGTTAACGAGCAGTTACGGTAGTTTTTTGTGACACTTTATCAAACGCTTTTGTATAATCTATAAAACAGAGGTACCCATCCTTCTATTGCATTTTCTGATATCATTCTGAGCATAAATATTGCATTCCTTGTTCCAGTATCTTTAACGAATGTAAGCGTTCTGAAAGCAAAGGGAATGTTTGTCGCTGATTGCTTCCACAACGCAGAGAATAAATCACTGTAAGTTCAGACTCGAATATCGGGGGCAGAAAGAAATGCCGAAAACTCGATTCGCAGGTACTATCTCACAAATCACAATGCAGGTAACCAGTCAGAATAATAACTCACACTCCGACGAACGCGGTAGCCAAAATACGTCAATTTTCTCCCGATTCGAGAACACCAACTGCTTTTATCGCCCGAGCATTTTTTTTTTCATTCGTCAACAACTGGGAGAGGACGCCAATTTTTTGCATATTAAAATGCTTTTATAGACACTCCTGCGACGGACTTTTTTTTAGTCTAAATATTCCGTCTTCAGCATGTCATGCGGAATACGGGCTCTTTTCTGGTAAGTAATTTTCTTTTCTGTCGTAGAATACGCGCGATGTGCTGTCGCTTGGTTTGACGAGGTAAGTCGCCGTTTTCTTCGCTATAACGAACCCGTTCTTGTCCTATTTCCGGTCTGATTCTGCTGTGCGCTTTATTCGTCGGAATTCGGATCGTAAGTTTTGTTATATGGCTCATTAGGCTGTTTATCCGATGAAGTTAACATTCGTTTGAACCCGGCTTCTTAGGCAGTGTTCTGAAATTGGATCTACTTAGGTTTTCTAGTATAAGATTTTATTTTATTTTTTGGCTAGTTTTTCTTTCATCCTATTTTTGTTGCTTTTTCATCTGCTTCATTATTTCCGATCCGTGTGATTTAGATAATTGTTGCAGAATATAAAATCTTTCTGAGCATTCCACAAGAATAATTCAGAAACAAAGGTAAATTAGTGTTATGGGTGGACCATAAAAGATAACTCGGACTTGGATATAAGGTTTAATAATATATTCTGGGTAAAAGTACAACAGTAAACATGGACAGGAGAGTACTTTCTCTCACTAGTTCTCTTGCTCTTCTGCCCAACTCATAGTTGGTAGCCACATTATATAAGCGTGGAATAGTCCATTTGTAGGTAGGTTAGGTTCCCATGATAATTAGTAAAAAAAAAAAATCTTATCTAATAAATTCGAGCTTTTTAAAATCATTACTACTATTACTGCTAAAACTAGGTGTAAGCGAAAAATATGACGTCGAGAAAAATAAACAGCAAATATTTCTGAGCTTTCTGCAGCAAAAGGCGTCGATATGTCAGAGGCACAACAAAGGATATTCAATATAAGTTTTATTCTTTATTTCCTTATCTTGCTCCTTGCTAGATGATTGTAGAATGCAAAAACGAACTGAGATTTGCGATAAAAAGCTGACACGAAAAGAAAGCAACAATAAACAATTAATAATAATAATAATAATGCTTCACTTAAAAAATTCGGAAAGTTTAAATTTGTAATGAGTAGCTCTATCAAAATTAAAAATAATTAAAAAAAAAAAAGTTCCTTTTAAAAAATCTGCCTCTTGATGAACAAGCAGCTGGGTTAGTAGACTGTCAAGGCTGCCCTCAAGAACTTTTGCGCGAGGAGTTTTGTGAAGTAACATTTTCTCTTCTGCTTGTTTTTATTGCTTTACCAAGGTCCGGTCTGTACTGGCCCCGCTCTCAAAATATTGACAACTTAAACAATTGAAGGCAATTATGAGATTAGTTGTCAGTAAAAACGAAAGAATTGTTCTAATTATGAAAACTTTAGTGTGTCGGGTTTCATTTGAAATCGGTTGAAAAAGCTGCTCCTTAGTTATTAAGTGGCTTGTCTTGCAGAAATCGACTCTCCTTTTTTTCCAACCCGGTTACATATTCCGAGGGGTAAACAGAAATAAAAAAAAAATAGCACAAAAACAGATTTTATCTTATTACCTGAACATTACGACACAATTATCGCTCTTATAACGTGTAGAAACGTCGTTGCTGCTGAACGCCATATTTCATGGAATCCTCGTGAAGGCACTCGATGCGGTCAGACACCTGCTTGTCGTGGATTCAGGGAGACCACATGAGAAGGCCAATAAATAACAGGAAAAACGATCGTCTGAATATAAGCAAAGTCGAGAATGAAGACATGTGAGCTTCTGTAATGACGCTTTTAAATCTTCCAGTGTGACACTTGGCAAACGCTGCTTTCGAACTTAGGTGAGCTTCGGCGCCAGCTGTTTACGTTCAATTCCAGGGGAAAGCTTTGCTTAGAATAAAGAAATTTTGTAGCTGCTTACACCAACCTCCGACTGTATGTAAAATATTCTTCAACAATGTTTTAAAGAAAGAATGACATTCACAGTTTTAAATGTTTCAACTGAAATATTTTCATAAATCAACCTATTTTCAAATTCTGAGATGAAGGATTTTCATTATTCTACATATTTTCTTGACTAATACCTTCATCTTTTTCTATCTATTTAACCAAATGCTTTCAGTTGTCTGAAGTTCTGAGATGAAGGATTTTCCACTATTCCACACATTTCTTGACTAATATCTTCATCTTTTTAATTTTATTTAGTCAAATGCTTTCAGTTGTTTGGGGTTCTGTGGTGAAGAATTTTCATTATTGGAAACATTTTCTTGGTTAATATCTCCATCTTTTCCTTTCTATTTAGCCAAATGCTTTCAGTCGTCTGATGTTCTGAGATGAAAGATTTTCGCTATTCCACACATTTTCTTGACTATGTTCATCTTTTCCTTCTTATTTAGTCAAATCCTTTCAGTTGTCTGATGTTCTGAGATGAAAGATTTTCGCTATTCCACACATTTTCTTGACTATGTTCATCTTTTCCTTCTTATTTAGTCAAATCCTTTCAGTTGTCTGATGTTCTGAGATGAAAGATTTTCGCTATTCCACACATTTTCTTGACTATGTTCATCTTTTCCTTCTTATTTAGTCAAATCCTTTCAGTTGTCTGAGGTTCTGAGATGATTTTCTTGACTATGTTCATCTTTTTCCTTCTTATTTAGTCAAATCCTTTTTGTCTGATGTTCTGAGATATTTTCATAGACCACACATTTTCTTGACTATGTTCATCTTTTCTTTCTTATTTAGTCAAATGCTTTCAGTTGTCTGAGGTTCTGAGATGAAAGATTTTCATTATTGAACACATTATCTTGACTAATATCTACATCTTTTTAATTCTATTTAATCAAATGCTTTCTTCTAATTTAGCACAATGTTCTCAATTTTCTGAAGTACTGAGATAAATGATTTCATCCTTTAACAAATTTTATTTAATATTTTCACTGGACAACATCTGCTATGTGATTCTGATAGATCAGCTCTTCCTGCCACCAACTCACCTCCCATCTACCTATCCCCGCTTATGGCTGGCAATACGAACAGTTGACATTGGAATCACGTGACGTTCAAGTCCGTCTCACACGAAGGGCGGCTTGGAACTGAATCTCCGATGCTAAGCATTACTGTTAATATAGACCAACAACCGGATACACCCTATTTCCAGTTTTGTTGTTACTTGATCTCTAAAAAAATCCTAATCAACTCCTTAACTTCCCCTTCACACTTTGGTCAATGTGAATGCCGCTTAGAAGATGAGACTTCAAAAGGCGTCACCGACTGGTTATCTAACAAAAACACTTGAGACCGAGATGAAAGCACAGCATCCTTTTCTACGTGGGTGTCCATAGCATCACATTATTATATATAGCAATTACAATATTACTAACAGACCGAAACTTCAACACTACATTCTTTGACCCTAGAGGGGGAGGAGACCCAATTTTATACCAACATTTGTTTTGGTTTTTTGGGAACACAGAAGTATATATTTTAATTCTACCTGCATTTGGTATTATTTCACACATTGTATGACATCATTCATTTAAAAAAGAAACATTTGGCTCATTAGGTATAATTTACGCCATATTATCAATTGGGTTATTAGGTTTTATTATTTGAGCCACCATATATTCACAGTAGGTATAGATGTAGACATACGAGCCTACTTCATATCAGCAATTATAATTATTGCTATTCCTACTGGTATTAAAGTATTTAGATGGTTAGCCACAATCTATGGTTCCCCAATTAAATATAATACACCGATACTTTTAACTTTAGGTTTCATTTTCCTATTCACAGTTAGAGGGTTACTGAAAGTGGTTGTTGTGTGGGGGTATTTTATGAGGATATTGGTTAACTCTAGATTTGAAAAGGTTAAGATTGTAGTGGTCGAGAAAGCATCTGCCAGGGATTCTGTTCCATAAAGCAACAAATTCTTGGGTAGAATTTACTCTTTATTAATGAAATACGAAGGCAATGAGAGTTGTTAGCTTCAATATACGTTGCATGACGGATCTTAGCCGGTATGGTTAGAGTTGGGGAACTAAGTAATGTACCTCGTCTGAATATTTTCCATGAAAATAGCGATAGATAATTGCAACGTTTCATCTTGAGGGAGGAACTGTAAGGTGGAAATACTGCTGCCATATATGGTCTGGTGCTCCCGCCGTTCATCTCGAGGTCCTCGACAAAATTCAGAGACCGATATGCAACTGGTCCTGATCTGGCATCCCTTCTACAGTCACTTTCTCACAGACATGATGTGGCTTCCCTCTGCCCTTTCTACGATTACTTTCATAGCAACTGTTCCAATGAGCTATTTTCACTGGTTCCCAAACTGCATGAATTTAAGCGTGCTACTAGGTTGGCATCTCAGTCCCACCCTTTCACTGTCGAAACGGCTAAATGTAGCCATCTTTTCTACTCCAACAGCTTCTTATCTCGCACCTCCCGTCAGTGGAACTCCCTTCTTATCACTTGCTTCCCTTATAGCTATAATCTTTAAATATTCAAATGTAATGTTAATCGACAACTGATGCCTTGACCTTGACCCCTGTCCTTCGCTTTATCCTTTTCCCAAACACTCCTCTTTACTCTCACTCTCTGTGACCACTTGTGTGCTAGTGGCACTCTCGCCTTGCTTGGGGTAATTTGCTTGCTTAAAAAATACTTCATTTTCCTCCTGGTTTCGCTCTTGTAACGGGAGAGGATAGCAAGAGGAATGGTTCAGAGTACCGAACATTTTTTCCAATATCTTTAGTAATGACAAATATATTCTGGCTTTCTTCTTCTTTATGTGCCATGTGATCATGGCTCTCCACAATTTCCTGTTCCTTGTCGCTCTTAATAAACATTGTCTTTCTGTTATTTCTCCTAAGTCCTATCCTACCATCTATTTACTCAAGCTCATTAAGTATATTACTGGTTGTCTTACTCTGTCCCTCTTGCCCTCTGTCTGTCCCGTGAGTATCAGATTTTCCAAGCCGTCCTACCTCATTACATGCCCTAGGAATCTCAACTAATTTTTTTCTTGATGCCATGTATTAGTTTCTTTTTTTTTCATTTTTTCCAAAACTTTGTCGTCACACACATGTTCTGGCCTAGGTCGTTCTATTCTAGCCTAGCCTATTTTATGCCTGGGTGTATAAACCGGTATAGCCTAATTTATAACCCGAGTATAAAACAATTAAGCCGAGAATAACCCTTGCAATACACTGGGCTGGGAATATACCCAGCGTTAGTATGTTTATGGTAATAGTAATATTATCCGTTTCTCTACAAGGAAACATTTGGCATTCATTGACGAGGAAGCAGTATCGCTTTTTGTTGAAATTTATAAGATTTTTATCTTAAAACGTTTAAACCCGTATAATTTTATTATTAGACATAATTTTTTCTCTTATTTATATTTATACCGGTTTGGAAAAGAACTTTTCTGGCAATAGATGCCAATCGAAACTCAACACTAATTGCTAAATTGTAATCCTATCAAGCCGCTTATAAAAGTTTTTATTGGATGATGGTTAATTTTCACTCTTGCGTTATCCTGTGCACTTACAGCAAACAATTATCTTTGTTGCTTTCTAAAAAAAAAAAAAAAAAAAAACTTCAGCCTCCTCTGCCAAGTGTTCCAAGAAATAAGACTTACGATAAACCTTTCTAAAACAGAATCCATGATCTGGCATTGGAATGAGAGCAGTTGACGACACGTAACGTGAATCCATCACAAAAATTGAGGAATTAGGAAATACAAAACACTTGAAATAGTTCTATGTGTAGATCAGTCACAGCAGTTACAGCATGTAAAAGACAAAGAAGTATGTTGAGTTGTAATGTTGCGAAAAGATAATACAAATATCAACAACTTTTAATGGAAGGGGATTAATTTTCCTTCTTGGCTTTATCTGCGCACCTATTGCAAGCCATTATCTATGTCAGTCTTTTTCCATTATCTATCTATCTATCTATCTATCTATCTATCTATCTATCTATCTATCTATCACAGATTTCTATCTATCTATCTATCTATCTATCTATCTATCTTAGATTTCTATGTATCTATCTATCCATCTCAGAGATTTCTATCTATCATTCTATCTCAGATTTCTATCTAAGAGATTTTATCTATCTATCTATCTATCTATCTATCTATCTATCAGATTTCTATCTATCTCAGAGATTTTTTATCTATCTATCTATCTATCTATCTATCTATCTATCTATCTATCTATCTATCTCAGAAATTTCTATCTATCTATCTATCTATCTATCTCAGATTTTTATCTATTTCATAGATTTTTATCTATCTATCTCTCTATCTATCTATCTATCTATCTATCTATCTATCTATCTATCTATCTCAGATATTATATTCTATCTATCTATTTATCTATCTAAGACATTTTATCTATCTATATATCTATCTATCTATCTATCCCAATCTGGCTCATTAATGTGAGCACTTGGCTTAAAGTTTTACTTATTGACTAATTAGCTTCTAAAACTGCCTTGATTCTATGTGGGATCGAGTCAAATATGTTTTGAATTGTTTCCAGTTGAATTTTATCCCATTCTTCAATCAAAATGTCGGGACGTTGTTTCAGCAACGATGGGGGAAGGAATCTGTTCCTCACACTTTGCTCTAGAATTCCCCACAAATGTTTCAATTATGTTGAGATCAGGTGACTGTGCTGGCCATGGAAGATGTTTAATTACATTATGAGGCTCATCAAATCATCACTTCTCTTTTTTTTTTGCAGTGGTGCATTATCATCTTGGAATATGGCATTTTCTGCCAACAATATGGTAGCCGTTGTAAAGACATTGTCATTGAGAATGTTGAGCTATTTATTTACAGTAATTCTACCATTAAGAGAGTGATGATAGGACCAGCAGGAAATTGCTGCCCAAATCATTACTAAGCCATTTCCAGGTTTGACTGTCGGGACTATGTGATCTTGGTCATAGGCTTCATGCGGTGTGCTACCGTACAGAAACACGCCCGTTTGTCGGATACAACGTGAAACAAGACTCACCAGACCAAATAACATTTTTTTCATTCCTCGAGTGTCCATTATTTGTGTTCATCACACCATTTGTTTCACAACTTGGCGTTCGACTTTGCGATCAGAGGTTTAGGAATCGCAGCTCTTCTGTGGATACCAGCTTTGTGGGGCCCCCGATGTAGAACGCTGGTCAGTCTCTTTCGGTCAACTTTGTTTTTTGTCCCCTATTTCTCTTAGCTGATGATGTTTTGTCTTGTTTTTTTTTTTTGTAAGCTGTCATAACCATGGACGCTACAGTTCCTGGCACATTCAATAATTCAGAAGTTTTTGTCACAGATGCTTTCGCTAATCGAGCACGAAGTATTTGTCCTCTTTGAACATCCGACAGGTAGCACATTTTAGTATGTAACTCTTTTACCTGAAAATAAATAATGACTTAATTAAGTGGAAAAGCAAGGCAAAGGATTCACGTGCTGAGCAGTTACCATTTTTTGCAGGTTTGATGTTTACAAATAGCCGGAAATGCCGGAATTGCTATTTTTGCAAGCTGTTCACGTTATTTTACCTACCCATCTATCTATCTATCTATCTATCTATCTATCTATCTATCTATCTATCTATCTATCTATCTATCTCAATTTGTTCATTATCTATCTCAATCTGTTTATTATCTATCTATCTATCTATCTATCTATCTATTCATTATATATCTTTTTATCTATTTCAATCTTTTCATTATCTGTCTCTCTATCCATATCAAGATTTTCGCTATCTATCTATTTCAATCTTTTCATTATCTATCTATCTATCTATCTATCTATCTATCTATCTATCTATCTATCTATCTATCTATCTATCTCAATCTCTTCATTATCTATCTATCCAAATATGTCATTATCTATCTATCTATCTATCTATCTATCTATCTATCTATCTATCTATCTATCTATCTATCTCAATATGTTCATTATCTATCTATCTATCTATCTATCTATCTATCTATCTATCTATCTATCTATCTATTCATTATATATCTTTTTATCTATTTCAATCTTTTCATTATCTGTCTCTATATCCATATCAAGATTTTCGTTATCTATCTATTTCAATCTTTTCATTATCGATCTATCTCAATCTATCTATCTATCTATCTATCTATCTATCTATATATCTATCTATCTATCTATCTATCTATCTTTCTAGTTACCTATCTCAGTCTTTTCATATCTATCTACGAGTATATTTATATGTATATATTTATCTATCTCAGCCTGTACGTTTCTAGATGTTTGTCTACCTCAGTCTGTTTTATTCATCTAAGTATCTATTGTCATTTTACCACATAAACTCCAGCAAGTCGTCGTAATTCAATCAGTCATTTCTGGAGAGAAAACCAAAACAGGTAGAAAGAAAAGAAACGAAATAAATGGGGAGAGAGAGAGAGAGGGAGGAGATAGAGGGGGTAGAGAGGAGAGAGAGATAGTGAGGGAGAAAAAGAAGAACCCCATATCCTTGCATAATCTTGAGTTTTTTTCCTCCATTTTTATTCACCTTCTGATCTCTGGCAACGCGTGCTCTCAGCCAATGATTTACAGAGATGTCGCTAATAATGTCACCGAACACTTTTATTCTCGCGAAAAGCAAACTTTAAATCATGGCTAACATTCAATCCGTCGTTAAATCATGATTCGTTAATAAGCAAACTAGAGAATGAAAAAGACTTATCGACTTAATTATCTAACTTGTACATGTTGGTTAGTATTAAGGGTCCAAGATTATTGTTTGCTGGTATCTGCTCGATTAAGATTACTACTAAAGTTCATATATATATAAATATATATATATATATATATATATATATATATATATATATATATATATATATATATATATATATATATATATATATAAATAAAAAAAGAACAGTAAGATATATAATCCGGTGTTCTTATAGATATTTTATTTTTACAAAATAGTGCTCAATGTAAATTTACAAAGCATTAATATTATAAATTAATTGATTTAAAATTATCTACTTAATTTCACTGATTTAGTAAACTTTTATTTTTTATATAAACCTATATATTACTAGGTTTATATAAAAAAAAGTTTACTAAATCAGTGAAATTAAGTAGCTAATTTTGCCGTCATTGTCAGAAATTTTACTTAAATAATATTTAAATATAAAAAAAATTGTAACCTAATAATTTACATACTTATACTTGATGTGATAATAATTCTACAAACTGTAAGTGATTCTAATTACATTTAATTGTTCAAATCGTAGTTAAATAAAAACTATTCTAACCTAAACACTCCCCAAAAATCTTTAAATATACAAATAGAAAAAAATTCCGTAAGAATTTTTGCCGTTAATAATAAAATTTAAAAAAATCCAGACGACATGCTTTTAACGTAAGTTAGATTTCATTGAAAAATACATCCCTACCCACTACCAAAACGTAACTAATAACTGATACATCAAAATACAGACATAATGAACACACAGACACCCCTTGTCTAGTGGAAATGGTTTTATCTGTAGCCTTGGAAACGTGAATTATGATTTTAGGTGTGTCTTTAAAACCCAGTAATTTTAAAAGTTACTCCAAAATTCCCTTGAGGATGAAACGGAACTGATGTCTTTAATTTAATTACAAAATTAAATTCGGAGCTTTTAGCTTCCATTTTTGAAACATGGTTAGAACGGTGTAGCAAAAACATATTTTAAATCAATTAATTTATATATATATATATATATATATATATATATATATATATATATATATATATATATATATATATTGATGAATGTTTTATTAAATAATATAGACAAGTTTTGTCTATTTATTTTAAGTAAATTCCTTTCATAATGTCTGATAAGCTTTATAATATTATCAGATGAAAGAACATCACCATATTGATACATGTTTTTTTAATCCTATCTAAGCTTTCGGCTTGCATAAGCCATTATCAAAGATGAAAATTACCTTTCAATATATTGAACAATACATGGACAAAACAATAATGATAGTCTGTTTTTGTTGCATGAAAGATTTCCAAGCAACGACAAACTCGTGTATACGAGACGCGGAAGTGAAAATCGCATCGCAGCTCGTGACGTCACACATGACAACTCGAGTGTGAAAACGAGAAGTATTAAGTGTGGGAAGCCGTTGGTATAAACCAATGGCTTCTGTTATCAATTATAGGCATTTAAGAATATTTGTGGAGATTTCATAGTTTATTTTGTTCAGGTTAGGTTTCAACTGTTTTATGTATATAGCTTTAAGAATTTTAAGTTTTTGTTTATTGTTTTCATGCTTAGGTATAGTTGTGTTTTCAACGAGGATTTTTTATATATATATATATATATATATATATATATATATATATATATATTCCCAGGTGAGATGAGAACGAATAGAGTACAATTCCAACGTTCGTAACATTTAATTTAAAAGAGGGTTCAATACACAGTAGAACAATATTCTTTATTTTTTGGATAAGTTGAAAATATGTAACACAGTGACATTTGCATTTATTATATATATATATATATATATATATATATATATATATATATTCTTGTGGTAGGATCCACCTAATTTGCATAGTGGAGTACCGACCATATAAATATGGTTGGTACCGGGGAAGAGAGGAAGGAATCAAGAGATTCAACCAGAGACTCTGCCCGACTGCGACTCAGTCAACACATTTTCCAGGAACGGTCTTACCAGGAATATACAAAAGACTATATGTAAATATTGTGTACACTTTCTTGTTTCAATACATTTTGTTCTAAGTACATTTTGTGTTGCATTATTATTTCCATTGCATTAGTTTCAAGTTATATATATATATATATATATATATATATATATATATATATATATATATATATATATGATAAATCCAAATGAGCCAGGTAGTACCTGGCTCATTAGGATTTATTTTCCTTTTGCTCTACTTAGTGTAGTGAGCACTTTTCGTGTTAACTTATTACTCGCTGGGTTTTTTTCTTTGTACCAGAGATTTACGGTACTGGACAATTTCTTTCGCCCTGTTCGAAGGTTTCTAGGGCTTTCTTTTTTTTTCATTTTTCCTCGGATGCCAGTTTATTTGAAAATTGTGATATGGAGTTTTCTTTTGAACCACCCAGTTTAAATAAATTTACATTTATATATATATATATATATATATATATATATATATATATATATATATATATATATAACAGAAATGGAAAAGGATTGAACTTAAATTCACTGCAGAAAAGCTGGGAGAATATAAAAACGACTACCCATGAAAATTGGGACTGGAACGTTAACCAAATCAAAAGTCGCATAGTCAACGTCGAACTATAAATAACATAAAACAGATCGACATTCGACATTACAAATTAAAATAACGGAAGAAAAGAACAAAGGGAGATAACTGAGACACCCGGAAGAGGCTTGGCATGTGGAACTAGTACAATCTACCCCGGCGGACGGAATAAACTATTCAGATCGAAATTCCAATCACCTGAAGTAGCTCGCTAGCCTAGCGTAAACTATATTAAATACTTGATATTGAAACACACGCACACGCACTAATACACGCACACACACACACATACACGTCACGCAGGCACGAAGACACACAGACACACACATACATATATATATATATATATATATATATATATATATATATATATATATATATATATATATATATATATATTATAAATGGACAAAAGTACGACAATGATTTAAGACATTTTTTTATGTTCATACATTCTTTTTATAGATACAAATATTTAAGGAAATGCTCTGTTTATAATAAACAGTATTAACAACATTTACCGGCCTGAATGTCTGAGAAATTTTCATAGAAAATATGGGTCCTCCGACAGAAATCCGTATAGGATACGGGTTCGATTTCTGTCGGAGGACGCAAAGTTTGAATGGTTTCCAAAGGAAATTTTGTCCATTCTTCTGCCATTCTGCTTTCAGTGATGATGGTGGAGGATATCAACTCCTTATTTGTTTTTCTAAAATGCACCATAAATTTTCAATAATATTGAGATCTGGGGACTCTGGTAGCCAGATAAGATGGTCTACTTCACTAGAATGTTCTTAGTGCCACTCAAGACACAATTTTAGGTGTATGAATTAGTGCATTATCATCCTGAAATATTGCGTTTCTCTCCGGAAACAGTTCTGCGACCGTAGGATGAATTTCATCTGATAAAACTTTTAGTCTCTAATTTTGATCCTGCCATTAAGGGAAACCATTGGGTCGGCAGATTTCCAAGATATAGACCTCCCCACGATCATTACAGAGCCTTCTCCATGTTTAACAGTTGGAAGAAGATAGTCTGGATTAAATATTTCTTTAGACTGTCTCCACACGTATACTCGATCGGGAGATTAATTGCTGTTGTTCTCAAGTCCATCCTGACCCGGGGTAGTAGCTCCTATTAGGGTCTCAGCTGTGGGTAAATATTGAACCCCAAAACAAAAACAAAATATCATGAAAGTAAAAAAAAAAAATATACATTTTTATAGTAAAAATATTAGCAATACTTTTTATAATAAAAAAGCACTCGTAATACATTTTATCTATAGTTGAAGGCAGACAATTGCATTTATTTAGATTTCGGCATTAAATAACCCATAGAGGTGTTGATATGCCGCTAAACAAAATCAACCAACCAACCACACTGATAATATCTAAAACATTTGAAAGGACTTGGAAAAAAAACAAATAACGTAACAAAACATGAACTCGACCTTCAGTCTGTTGTTAACTGGGGCAAAGGATGGCTTGTTAATTTTAACGACTTCAAAATGAAACTGCTCTCTATTAATCATCTTAGAGAATCCTTTCTGCCTTCCATCAGCATGGCTGATACTAACCTCTAGGAGAGTGACTGGTTACCCCTTCACGGGCTAACGTTCTCGGCTGACATGAAGTAAAAAAAAGATTATATTGAATCAATTGCTAGGTCAGCTACTCAGAAAGTCGGTTCACTGTGTCGTGCTAGACAACTTTTCTCTCCTGAATCTATCTTACATATCTATAACTCTACCATTCGCCCATGCTTATAATATTGCTACTACATATAATTTGGTGCCTCTTCTATTTACCTTGAGCTCCTTGATAAAATCCAAAGAAGAATCAGCAATATTATTGGTCCTGATCCGGCATCTCGGATTCAGTTACTTTCCCACCGCCGTAAAGTTACCT